TAATGGCAATGCTGATGATGATGATTATATAAAATAATAACTATAATAATAGTGATAATAAAGATGATAATTATAATCATAATAATAATGTTGTGATAATAAGGATAATAATAATAATAATAATAATGGAGGTGATGATGATAAAGATGATGATTTTCCACACGACCTCTAGAGCAATCACATCTTTTATTTCTCCTTTGTTTTTCCTTTCACTATCTTCCCTACCTCTTCCTCTTACCTTAATGTTTGTGGCCCTAGGAGGAAGGGATCTCTGCCTCCCTCCCTCCCTCGTTGTTCCCTCCATACCTCCCTCCCTCCATCACCCCTTTCTCCCTTCTACCTTTTCTTTGGTCCGTAGTGGAGGGAAAAAGATCTGCTGGGAAACGGGTCATGCCTCCCTTCTTCCCCCCCGCCCCTTTCTCCCTCCCTTCCTCCCTCCCTCTCTCCCTCCCTCCCTCCATCCCTCCCTCCCTCCCTCCTCACTCCGCTTGTCGCCCGAAGTGGAGGGAACCAAGACCTGCTTTGGGAATGGGTAGTGCTTCCCTCCCTCCCTTCCTCCCCCCTCCCTCCCTCCCTCCCTCCCTCCCTCCTCACTCCGCCTGTCGCCCGCAGTGGAGGGAACCAAGACCTGCTGGGGCAACGGGACGTGGCTGCAGGACGCGCGTGGGGCCGAGAAGACCGAGTACGCGGACTGCAGCCACCGCAAGTACCACCTCCGGAACTACTTCTGGGAGATCGCCATGCACGCCGTTTCGGTCGTCGCCGTTGTGCCTGCCGTCTGCATGATTCTGTATTTCAGGTTGGCAGCAGAAGAAATGCACGGTGTTCTTTCGTTTGTGGTGCTGATATATATAGAAAAGATGACGTGGTTTTGTATATTTGGGGGAAGATTTGGGATTCACTTGAATTGAAGAGGATATGTATTTTCTCTTCCGTATTTTCATGTTCAATTTCGCTTTCTCCGTCATTATCTTCTCACTTACTTTTACTTTGATTTCCCTCCCTCTCTTCGACCTCCTCTTCTTCTTGTTAACTAATCTTCACCTTATTATCCCTATTTCGTTACCCTCTCTCTTATTTACCCTTCAATATTCGTTGTCACTTTCTTCATTATTTTCACTTTAACTTCCCTTCCGCCCTCGCCATCCTACGTTTGCTTGAATTTTCTACCTAAGCTTCACTTCCTACCTCCCGTCTTCGTTACCTTCTTCTGCTTTCCTCCCTCTTCGACATCTTCTCCCTTACTTTCACTTTCATTTTCCTTCAGTCGCCTTCGTTCACCCTCTCCCTGATTCTTATTTCAGCCTTCCTCCGACCCACGTCATCCTCTTCCTTATTTTCACTTTAACCTCCCTCTCTCCCTCCTTTGCCCTCCTTTCCCTTACTTTCACTCCCTCCTCCCTCCTTCCCTCTCTCCCTCTCTCCTTTGTCCTCTTCTTCCTTACTTTCACTCCCTCCTCCCTCCCTCCCTCCCTCTCTCCTTTGTCCTCCTCTCCCTTATTTTCACTCCCTCTTTCCCTCTCTCCTTTGTTCTCCTCTCCCTTACTTTCACTCCCCCCTCCCTCCCTCTCTCCTTTGTCCTCTTCCCCCTTATTTTCACTCCCTCCTCTCGCCCGACAGAGCCCTCCGCGTGCAGCGGTTTTACCTCCACCTGAACTTCCTCGTGGCGCTCCTCGGGAAGGCCCTCATGAGCATCCTGGACTTGGCGGTCCTGAGGATACCCGAGTACTCAGGGGTGAGTCTGTTCTGCCAGCGTATGTTGACCTTCCACGTGACCTCAGAGCTGGAAGGTAAAGGTCCACGTCAAAATAAGGGGTTATTTAGAAAGGGTAAGTTGGTAATGGTTTATGATAGATAGAAAGCGATTGGCACTATACAAAAATAGATAGATAAGTAGATAAACAAACAAATGAATAAATGGCATCCAGGGTGAAATGTCTAAATCCTTAACAAAAATTGATGATTATAGAACACTGAAATTTAACTGTCTTTGCCAAGTATGGAGATGAAGATGATAAGACTAATTTTTTTAATAATTTCTATTCCTATTCAAGATGCCATTTACAATAAAATTTAAATACAGTATGCTACAGCAGGATAGGCACTCTCGCCTCATTCTTCTCTTTTTGCGCTTCAGCTTCTCCGACTCATCGCTTTCTTTTCCCTGATTTCATTCGCCCTCCCCCCTCCCTTCCCCCTTTGTTTCTATCACCTCCTTCCCCCTCCCTCGTCTCCCTCCCCACCCTCCCTCCCTCTCCCTGCTCCCCCTCTCTTCATCTCTCTCCTCCTTCCCCCTTAGCTTCCCTCGCCCCTTGCCCCTCCCTCGCCTCCCTCCTCCCCCTCCCTCCCTCTCCCTGCCTCCCCTCCTTCCATCTCCCTCCCCCTTGCCCTTTATCTTCCCTCGTCTCCCTCCTCACCCTCCCTCCCTCGTCTCCCTCCTCACCCTCCCTCCCTCGTCTCCCTCCTCACCCTCCCTCCCTCGTCTCCCTCCTCACCCTCC